GGGGGGGGGGGGGCCCCGGGACAGATGAGGGCAGGATCATAGGCACCGTTGCGGCCGGGCTTGGATTCCCGTTTCATCCTGCCTACGGCTGGGGGCCAGGATGCTAAGCAGGCTGTGTTCCCAGGGGTAAAGTGGGGTGTCAAGGACCAAGCCACAGTACTCCTGGTACAGAGAAAGGTTCCTGAGTCATACCTGATGGTGATGCCTGGCTTGGAGCCCAGTGCAGGCTGGTGGCGTGTGCCTCACATCTAGTGTGAAGTGGGGGAGAGGATACGTCTTAGAAGTACCATATCCCAGAAAACGACCGTGGGCTGGGATTATCTCCCTATGGCTGCTTCTCCTGTGTGAGGGAGCCACAGCCTCTCCTCCCCAGTTTTTGGCCTCTGCCCCCCATCCAACTCCCCTGATGGTCTCCTGTGCAGGACATTGTGTAAAGGTTGCCTTCACCCTGCAGGGTGGAGGATGTGTGGGGAAGGAGAGACCACAGCGTCCTGCCCTTGGAGGACTATTTGCTAGAGACACCCCCCCCCGCACCCCCCGCTCCCGGGCTGGCATGACACGGTGAAGCCAGCCTTGACAGGAGGAGAGAGGAAGGCTGGACATCCTGGGGACATACATCCCTGGGGGAGGATTCCAGACCTACTTGCCAGAGATCCGTCTATCAGACAGCGGCTGTTGAGGCCTGAGGGACGTGTAGATGCGGACCAGTTCAGGGCCAGGTCTTGTACTGTTCTTAGTGTTTTTCTAGAATTGCTTCTCCAGGAGGAGGGGAGTTTCACATCACACCTCCTGCTGATGCCCTTAAGGCCCTGTCACTCCCAGCAGCCTCCAATCTAGATGATTAATGATGGCCAAGTGGGCCAAGCATGCGGTCTGTCCCCTGGGGTCTGTGCTGGCCTTGGCTGTTTGTCTGTGCTTCCTAGAACTTTGTTTTGTTCTCGGCAATGGGCCCCTATGGAAGCCCCACCATGCGTCGCCGTATTAGGGGGCTGTGCCCAGGTCTGAAGGACTGGATCTGTGGGACACCTGTCACAGCCTTGGCTCTGCTCGGTGGGGATGCTATATGAGGACCTCTGAGAACCCTGTCAACGTACCCGTTGGCATCTTATGTTGATGGATGTGCAGGTGAGGCTATGCCAGTCATTTCAGGCTGGTTCCCGAGATGCCACGGTGTCTTCATGGCTTGGCACTCATTTATGTGGAGTCACTGTACTGGGGCCTGAGCTGTAGAGGGACCCAGGCTCCGCTTTTTGCTTTGCCTCAAAATCTCCAAAGCAGTGGGACATACCTGGCAGGAAGGTCATCTCTTTTTCTGTTTAAATTGAGGTGAGCCTCACATGATGAGAAACCAACTCTTGGGGCTCAGGCTTCAGTGGCACCTGGCGTGTTTCCGGCGCTGTGAGGCCATCAACTCTCACCCTCCAGTGCTTTCGTCACCTTGGTGGACAGCCCTCACAGCACTGGCTCGTCGTCTGTTTCCTGGGCTTTGTCTCAGACTGACAGCGGTGTAGTGTGCAGCCCCCTGGGACCAATTCCCTTTCACTCTTTACGACCTCAGAACCATAGGGGACTGCTCCAAGGACTGATTTTGACATGGGGACAGTAGAGTGTCAGAAAGAGGGAAATGGAGGTATTTCCTGGGGTGTCCTAGTGAACTGTGGAGGTGTCTTAGTAAGCTGACATATGGAGGTATTTCCTGGGGTGTCCTAGTGAGCTGTGGAGGTGTCTTAGTGAGCTGATGGGGTGAGGGGAACATCCTTGGGAACTGTAGAGACATCCTAGTGAGTCCTCAGTGGACTCAAGGGGCCAAGGTCCAGGTTTGTTGTTTTTTTTTCTTTTGTTTTTTTTTTAAAGGCACATGAAGGTTGCGCATATTGTCTTGGAACAACCATCCTTAGTCACCAGACTCAGCATCAGTGGTGTTGTCAGCCAAGGCCGCAAGGACAACTACTTGGTGGACCTCTGTGCTAGGCTCTAGGTCTGCCCCCAGTGGATTCATCTGTGAAGGGTCTTGCGTCAGATCACTATGTGTGCGTGCATGCCAATGTCACGGTCTCCCAACTGTATTGATTTGAGAGGGTTTCATGAAAGTCCCTGCCCGAAGCATGGAAACCCTGTCTTTGCAGGCCACCACTCCCAGGAACAGGTGATGAATGGGGCATGTTTATAAGTGCTATGGGGAGGCCTGGGCAGACCTCATAGGGCTTGCAGGGATGGGGCAGTTTACACACAAGTGATGGGGGGTCCCTCTATTGAACGGTTAACTATGAACTGGGGGGGGGCCTTCCGTAGCCACCCCTACCTCCGAAATGCCACCATCATTTCCCAGATGGCCAACTGGTCCTGCTCTGTGTATAGAAGGGGGCTCACCCGGGGGACCTGCCCACTCTACCCTGCTCACCTGGTGTCTGGTTGTGGCAAAGATTGTCACAGCTTGGGAGGGAGTGCTCTGCCCTCTGTCCTGGAGCTCTTACGCGTGGAATTTATGTGGCATTTGCCATTTCCCGTAGCCCCCATGGGCCTGGGCTAGAGACAGGAACCCTGAGATGGGTGGGGACCAGATCTGCTCTGAGGATTACATGTCCAGTTGTGGGTGATCTCCCAATGCAAGTGGTCAGGGCTGTGGGGACCCAGCAGGGCTCAGGCTAGCCCAGGTGTTCTCGGGGTAGGAGCCCCTAGCCGCTGCTATGGTAACAGGGCAACAAGTGTCTATCCTGGGTACCAGGCACCGTGACTCATTGTGCCAAGCTCAGGGCTTTTCCTGTAGACAATGCGGAGCCCCTGAGGCTCTGAGCAGCGGTGGACATTCTCACTCTGATGCCCACTTGACCAAGGTGTGGACTTGCGAGGTTCCCTAACCTGGACCCAGGACCCATATAGTACCATGAGAGAACCTTGGTCTGTGACCCTGACCGGTGAGTCCCCACTGGCCTCCTCTCCAGCTTCCCACACAGTGGTCTGAATGACAGGACAGACCTAGAAGCTGCATCGTGCCTCATATCCTGGCCAGCCAGCCTGGCTTTGGTGCTGTCTCCTCAGGCCAGCAGACGGGGGACACTAGGTACCCCAGCCATGACCTCTGCTGAGACTCTGTGTAACTTCCCAGGAATTCCTAGGAAATTCCCACTGTAGACTTTGCAGGGCTGGTGGCTGCGTTCCAAGATTCCAGAGGCAGCTGGCCAGTGTCCTTTGGCCACCGCTATTCTCACGGGACTGCGGGTGTCTCTGAGGCCCTTAGCTTAGCCAGGGGAATTTCTTCTAGGGACCCTCCTGAGGAGATGTGAAGAGATACTGGGGCCACTGGGCAAGATTTGGGCCAACTCAGGCCTGAGAGTGCCCACACCTGATTCTGTCTACTACCTGTATGTCACCAGGGAGGGTTTGGTTTCCCTCCCGGCAGTAACATATGGCAGGTAGAATAAAGGCTTAGCCATGTATGCCCATGACCTGTTGCCCTGAGCCTTCCTAGAAACTACAGGGGAGAGGGGGAGGAGCCTAAGCCTTTGGAGGTAAGTGGTTGGGGACACCAGAAGTTCAGCTTCCCTGGACTCAGCTGCGGCAGTCTGACCAGGCCGGTGGACGGAGGCCCTAGATCCTGACTCAACACATTCGTGAGGTTCTGACACCCCTGAACCTCCCTCAGAACCCTGGTTCCTTAAGTCCCAGGCTAGTCACATCGGGTGGCAGTTGAAGCACCGTTGCTCCTGGGTAAGCCTGAACCCAGGCAAGGGTCCTCCATCTCAGCTGGCCACATGCCTCCTCAGAGTGGCCGCCTGTGCTCTGGACCCATAAGAACTGATGGAGGAAAAGGAGCCACGGGCTCAGAACCTGGCAGTCTGGGTTCAGCAGCTTCACTCTGTGCTCACTGCTTTCCCTAACCTGACACGGTTCCACCTGATCATGAAGGGAGCCCAGAGCTGTCCTGGTGGGACCAGAGTGCTGAGTCTGTCGGCAAAGTTCTGGCAGCTACGAAGAGGAATCACGTGGGGTCCTCTCGCTGCAGAGCAAAGGGAGTTTGGTTTCCTTGGAAAACCCAGTGCTGCAGAGTTGGTCCACCGGGGCACACAGGATGCTCCAGGTCTAACACCACTGCTCATAGCTGCTCCCGAAGGTCAGATCCTCTCCTGAGGAGCTGCTCAGATAGTGTCCTGTAAGACACATTGCACTGGATGCAAAGAGAGCCACTTCCCTGGGTGCTTGGGTGGAAGGGGAGGATGGCAGCCTGACCCTGGGTCAGTTTATTGGGTCCCTCTTTGGGATCTGTCTTGTTAGCTGATATCCCCCTAACCCTTGGGGACACTGAGTTTCCATGGCCAAATGCTCGTCTGCTTTTCTCACCACAGATGTCGACGAGTGTGCCAATGCCAACGGGGGCTGTGAAGGCCCTTGCTGCAACACCGTGGGTGGTTTTTACTGCCGCTGTCCACCCGGCTACCAGCTCCAGGGTGATGGCAAAACCTGCCAAGGTAGGACCTGTCTGTTGCTCTGCCCTGAGGAGGGGAGGTGGGAGAGTGGGTGGTGGGAGCCAGGGGCAAGCCCATGCTAGTCCCAGGGGCTAAGTCCCTATGGGGGAAGGGCCCACATGCCTGTGGATGCCCGGCGACCCTGATAGGAACCTCGCCTGTCGAGGACTGTCAAGAGGCCTGGGGCTGGAAGCAGCTTGCCAGCTCTGAACTGGCCCCCGTAACTCCACCCCAACGTTGCTGGCAGGCTGTCAGCAAAATCAAGACCAGACAGAAGACAGTCCTGGGGGAGACACAGGGAACAGAGAGGGGAGGGAGCAGGAGGATGGAGGAGGCCCTACCGTCCCCAGCTTCTCATTCTCTGGCTGCCCTGACATCTGGACCCATGGCTGGTTTGAACAGCTGGGCCTCTTGGAGTGTTTGGGGCCATCAGTGGCCAGGGTTCTGGGCCTGGGTCAACAGCCTGTCTCTGCTCGCCGTATCAGATGGTCACTGTCATCTTGTGCCCTAGAATGTCCTCAGTTAAGTGTCCCACTGTCTCCAGCCATCCAACTGCCCATCTGCAAACCATCTGCCCACAAGTGGGGGCCTAGTCTGCTGGATGTGGGGTTGGGAGAAGCATTGAGGCGGGGGTGTCTGCTCTGCGTGAGACATTCTAGAAGAATGGATTCCCATGTTCTCCTTCCTAACTTGTTCCGACGGCCAGCAGGAGGTTGGAGGTGGGGAACGTTGCTGTGACCTAGGGTCATGCCCCAGCTGTGGGGCAGCCCTCAGCCTGTGCCTCCATGTGTCTAGACTAAAGGGAAGTAAGTACGGGTTTGGGGGCGAGGTTTTGGTGTCCCAGGAAGGAGGGCAGAGCAGATCAGGGTTAATGATTGCGTCTGTGTCCCCGTGCCTGTGTAGCCAATCCCTGACGGTGCCCTCAGAACTGAGACCCCGGCTTGCAGGTCCACTTGGGCCCCATCCAGAACTTCTTGGCAGCAGAGATTTGGGGCTTGGGTTGGCACCAGTGTTAGAGATGGCTCATGATTTGAACTGGCTTAGTAAGTCAATTCTAGGGAGCAGCTTGCCCCTCCATCCCCATTCTGTGTCTCTGTGACATGGCTGTACATAAATGTGCAAGACCTTTGGTATGCCCATCCCCCACTGTGATGTGTAGGTGTGTCCTAGGGAGATTTCCTGGTCCCCATCAGTCACAGAGCCTAGAGAGCCTTCTTCATCACCGTGAGCCTGAGGAATCTCCCTCTGGGAGTGATCACCAAGCTGGTTTAAGGAACAAACTGAAAGACTTAGTAGAGACCTGGCCCTGGATAGTTTGCTGTGAACCAGTTCATGTAACCAAGCATTGGCTATACCCTCCCCCAGGTGGTACCTTCTCTGCAGCTCCCTTTCCATGGCTTCTTCTTCTTTGCCCAAGATGGAATCAGGCTCCCCAACCCCATGGCTTAGATGGGACTGGCCTGAGGTGGCTGTCCTCTGCCCATGGAGCCTCACCTTTCCTGATGGGGAGTCTGGAAATCGCCACTCTCCAGTGGCGTACGGATAGCCAGGTCAAGGGCTCTACTGGGCAGTTGAAGACTCCTGGAATTCCTCTGGTCTGTCTTCTGGAATGTATGGCAGTTATCCGTATGAATATCTCCCCATGTGTAAGAACTGCAAGATGGGGAAAGACAGACAGACATCAGCAGGAGTGGCTGCTAGACCAAGCCCTGGTCAGTCAGAGTGCCTGCTGTCCCTGGGGCCAGGTCGCGATGTACCAGGCATAGGGTCCCTCCTGAGCCTGCAGGGAAGGCCCAGCATAGCCATGGAGACACCCTAGAAGTCCCTCACATGGACGTCAGGATGAAATGGGTAGGTAGGTTCTTTCTGTCTAGCATGCCTGCTCCAGCTTTTGGTCAGTTGCTTTGGGGTGATGCAGTCGGTCAGACAGATCTTGGTTCTAGGCTGACCCCATGTTTCTTACAGCCCAGGAGAGCAGGGCGGAAGCTCTGCAGTGGGATTCCAGGCAGGTATGTATAAGGATGACCCCCCCAAAGACCTATGGAGCCCCAGAGAAGGAATTGCTACCTTCTCAGCCCATTCACATCTGTCCTATCTGGGAGAGGGATGCTCTTGGGCGTGTATCAGCGGGTGATACCCATCATCTTCCTCCCAGAAGCTGGAGAGACAGCATGTAACCTGCCAAGCTGAAAAGGGTACTGAGCCGTGTGACTAACATAGATAAGGATAATGGGGTAATATATGTTATAAGAGCTAATAAGTAGCCAGAGCTAAGGGCCAATCAGCTTTATAACTTATAGAGATCTCTGTGTGATTGATTTTCTCTGGGACTTGTCGGTTGTGGGGTACCGGGCAGGAACAGATACCCCAACAAGCCGGCCCAGATATTACACTGGAGTCTGTAGCGTGTGCTCTGGAGCTGGTGTGCTGTGTTGATCCAGGTGGGACATGGATGTTGGGGAGCTGAGTGCAGTGCCAGCCTCCACTTACATGCCCCTGGCAGGAAGCAGAAAGAAGGCAGAAGAGGGTGATGACCCAAGCCCAAAGTTGGCCATCTGTGGGTGCTGCTGGACTTGGGCCTTGCTCGTACCAGGCAAGCAGCTTACCACTGAGCCGTACATCCCCTCAGCCCTCTTTGAGACAGGGTCTGACTAAACTTCCCAGGCTTTCCCGGACCTTGAGATCTTCCTGCACCAGCCTCCTGAGTAGCTGGGATTGCAGGCCTGTGGCCCCAAGCTCCCTTCTGTTCCTTCATGAGACATTGAAGTCTCTGTTTGGGTTCCCTAAGGGTAGACCAGGTCTTTGCCTCTGACAGAAGTGGATAAAGGCAGGAACATGACTACATGGCCGAGTCTTAGGCAGAGGATAGGTTGGTCTCACTCAGACCTTGCGGCACCCGCCTTCTCTTTCCTTGCCTCTTCCCGGCTCCAGCCCCTCCTCTCCACCTCCCCACCTCCCCACCTCCCGTGGGGTTCATGCCCCAGCTCTGCGAGTTTGGGATGATTGGAGTTCTAAGTCACCTCATGACCAAGGGCCTCCTCCGCCGCGCGCCAGGGGCCCGCTGTGTTTGCTGTGCTCCTTGCCAGCCCGGCCTCCTCTGGCCAACACGTGAAGCAGCTGAGCTCGTGGGGCGCAGGCTGCCTGCATGTGTGAGCACAGGCTGTAGGAAATGAAGACATCCCAGGAGGAAAGGACGGCCTCGCCTGCTCACGCGGGGAGGTGTGTGCAGAGTTGATGGTGGGGTGAGCCCAGAAACCGCTCTGAGTGATGAATAGCCGCTGTAAAACAGAGTACTGGCATGGGAGTCTGGCCCGAGGTGACTTGGCCCCGGCCCTGAGACCTGGTCCAGGCTTGTGTACGTCATGTGTTGGGAGGCTCTGCTGGAGCCAGGGCCGAGTCCATTCAGCGGGACTGGGTGGTCTCAGTGACACTAGCCACTGCTCCTGCCCTGCTGTTGGGATTCGGACTCTGTTCTGAGTTGGGCCTGAATAGGTAGACTGAGGTCCAGGTATGGTAGACCTATCAGGCTCTTCGATGATACTCATTTTGTTTAGTGTGTATGTATGTGTATGTATGTGTACATGAGTGTGTGTGTGTGTGTGTGTGTAGGGGGAAGAACACTCTGTATTGTTCTTTAGATATTATCAGCCTTCTTTTCTGAGACAGGCTCTCATTGGTCTGGAACTCACCAAGTAGCCCAGCAGCCAGTGAACCCCAGGAACCTCCCCGTCTCTCCCTTTCCAGATCTGGGGCTGCAGGTTCACACCACCACACCCAGCCCTCACCTTGATGAGGCAAGCACCGACTGAACCCTGAACCATCTTTCTTCTCCCCAGCAGAGCTCCTTGCTGTACGTTCCAGGGCTCTGAACGCATCTCCACTTCCACGAAGTGTCCGCGGCAAAAGCCATCCCAGGGCTCACCTTTGGTGTCATGAGTGTGGAGCTTGGACTTAGTCCCCCGCTAAGATGTGTGTCTGCGCAGTCAGACAGGACAGATAGGACTCTCAGCTTCTCCACTCGTCAGAGGGTTCGAGGAAATGCTTAGAGACTGGGACTGGCATCATTCCAGCAGATAGCCTTTCTCTTCCCCCTCAGCCGTACAGGTTTAAGGGTAGAGCTGGGGTTACCACGTTCATGAGACGCCTGTGGGCGCCAGCTCTTCATGGACACCACGTCATTGTCCCCAAGGAGGCTCCCCCAAACCGAGGTTCCCAAGAAGCCCGTCTCACCCACTATCAGCTGTCATAGTGACTCCAGTCCCATTTCTGTCACACCCACCAATGCAGCCTTGTTGCTCGAGAGCTCCGCCAGGTCCTCTCTGCCCCTAGGGAGAGGAAGGAACGTGGGAAGTGAATCGCAGTTCTGATTAGGAAAGGCAGACAGCAACTGACCCAGGCCAGCTGGATGGGTCCACGAGGAGGGCCAGTCCTTGTGCCTGACACCTGCATGTCTGTGCTAGCTCCTCTCTGACCCTCTGCACCCCGGGAAGCAGCACTCCTACGGAGTCTCCCCAAAGTCTTTAGTGCCTGTGGATTTTGTACTCCGTGGGGATAGCCTGGTCTTAGTGGATGGGAAGAGCAGTGAACTAAGCCCCCCACTCTGCCCTTGGCACTCAACAGGTACCACATGGGTCGGCGCTGGGTCTCTGCTGGCCCGGGCCCCTCTCCTTCCCTCAGTTGTAGGGATTTAAAGGTAGAGCTGGGGTTGTTCGAGACTGTTTCTGAGAAGGCCATAGGCTCCAGTCCTTTGTGGACACCATGCCATCTTCCTCAGAGAGGCAGACATGCGGGAGGGGCCTCCCAAGCTTCACACACCATTAAAGCACTGAGCTGGAGGGTAGAGAGGGGCAGTGGTGACTCGGAATCCCAAGCAGGGCTGGTGAGCCCAGAGCTGGATGGTAAAGTTCAGAGCAGCCTCAGGAGTCCCCCAGGGCCCTGTGCTCAGCTGCTTGTGTGGCTTCTGCTCCCTCTGGACCCCCCCTCCATTCTCCCAGGGCCTTTGG